AGACCTCAGGAGCATCAACTTTGTTTTAATATTAATTATAATAATTAATACTTTGAGTTTATGCGCGTAAATTATATTTAAACTTGTTTTTGGCATCAGCACCCATTGAGATTATTAAATACACTAACTAACATTTATTCCTGYATGTAAGCAATACGGTATACTTCATTTCGCAGAAWTTTATTATCAATTAACGTTAYACTARTTTTTCACTAATTATTTAACTCAATAWAAACAARTAAAGAGGAGTGGTTTGAGATGAWTTMTKTRKRARTAGTTGTTTAGTATCAAATGTTTAATGATCTGYTTTAATTAGAGAAGTAAGATCAACGTGTTTGAATTGATTTGCTGAGTTATTGTATTCTATTTCTAAGCCTATAATACTACTGATAAAGGTTGTCGCACGATTGCATATAAAATGCTATCTATGTAACTTAAAATACTTAATAAAAATATTACCCAAGGTTTATGATAACCAAAAAGCTTAAAAATGCAAAATTACATTGCATGATCCCCAAATATGCGCGTTTACTGTTCAGGAGCTTCCTAAATTTTTGTTAAAGTTACAAGCATGAAATACTTTTCAAATAATTTGGGATTGGAATTTTTGAGATACTTTTAGATTATTGTGACAATAACTTTGTTTCATAAAGACGCTTAAGTTTGAATGAAATGAAATAAATGAAAAAATGCCCCCTTACCTAATTAATTATCTCTAATTCAATAAGACCACATCGTTACGAAGCTTCCCGAACAATCTGATCTTTAAGATATACGATCAAATTAAGCAACAAATTTGCCTTAGTTAAGGGTTGCTAATTCCCATTAAACTATAACTAATATAAATTAGTTAAAATAGCAGATTTTTGGTGATGGGACAGTTGATTTTGCGCTTGGTTGTAACGTGCAGGTACAACGCTATTTTTTATTATTATTTTTCTAAGGATGGCTGTAAAATATCAGCTAGACGATGATTTTTCAAGAAAACATATAATTGGAAAACGTTGATCAATTGGGCATATTTAATCTATCTTAATCAGGCCCAAGCTCTGATCTTCCAATAACGTACCTATTTTACTTCTGCAAACATTAAAGGTTCAGGTTCATATCGAAAAAATCCGCAAAAAATTAAAACGCAGTTTAAACCATATGGCTTTAGAAACTTATTTTATTTCTACTGTAGCCACGTTTAACATTTGTTATTGGAAATCCCAGCAAAACTTTTAATTATTAACACCTGGCCGTGCGCGCCTTATAACGCATTTTCTTTGACAAAAAACGCGCGATTGCAGTTGTAATATACAATGCTAAAATCATTGAACAAAAGTTAAGAGACACATAAATGCTTAATAAGCCTATAATTTATATTTTTTTATATAGAAATATGCACTACATTTTAACATTTTACTAAGACTTACTTAGATCTACTCGATCCATCAGGGGGTTGAATAAAAATGGACTAAGGCTATCTCCTTGTCTACTTCCTCCTAGAATGGGGATGCTAGATAGAATATTCTATCCAGATTTAATTTGCGTTCTGTTAGTATTGTTAAGTGTATCCCGTTGTTACTATGTTAGCTTTAGGATTTTAATATGTTATGTTAATACTTTATGTTAATTTTAATAAGTGTATTGTATTTCTATTGATTTTTCCTTTATTTTCTTGGTAATGGATATTGGATCGGGTGTTGATCTATTCCTTTTAAATCCGTCCTGTTCCTCTCTGGTTTTTATTTGTTTCTTTGGTATTGTTTGAGCAACCATGTAAACAACTTCACTGTTGAGCATAGTTGAGTTATTCCTCTGTAGTTTTCAAACTTTGTCTTTCGCCTATTTTTGTATATGGAAATTTTGATGCTGGTGTGTCAGTCTTTCGGGATTTCCGTAGTGCACAGGATTTTGTTAAACAGTGTTGTCGGTTTTGCTGCAAGCCCTGAACCTCCGTATTTTAGAAGTTCGTTTGGTATTTCGTCTGTACCTGGAGCTCTTCTGTTCGTTAGTTTTTTAATCTTGCTCTTGTTCATATGCTAATATTCCTCCGTAGTGACCACTTTAACCTGTACGTATTCATTTACAGGTTTCTGCCAATTTTTAAGCATCTTCTATATCTTCCTTTGGGCCAATGTTCTCTTTTGATTCTTGTGTTGACTCTGCTCCTGATACTCGGTGTGCTTTCCTGAGTTGAGGTGATCTTTTATATGAAAGCTTTTCTGCTGTACTCCTGCGAGGTCTTTCACTTGCTGACAGAATCATGGTTTGGTAGAGTTTTTCGTATATATGTTGATTTTCCTTTTGCTAATGGACTCTTGGGCCGCCTGGCGTATGCAGTTCTTTATTTGATTCTAACATGTTTCAACATTTTGGTTATTGAGGTCCAATTTTACTCATTTTTTGTTTCATCATCTGTTTTCGTACAGCTTTCGACTGCTGTCTGATTCCGTTGATTCCTTGTTATAGTTTTCTATGCTTACTGGCAGTTTCCAGATTCTTCGTGACTACTCCATTAGTAACTTACTTAAGTTAGTGCCTTTACATCGAATATTTGCGATGGTGTGATTGATCTGCTGGCAATGAGAAAATCGATCATTGATCGTTGACCTCTAGAGTTATTGAACGTATACTTGTAAAAAGCTAATCTTTATGCGGGAAATGTGTGTTATTGATCCTCATCTCGTTTCTTGCGCAGAAATCCATTAGAAGATCTCCATTTCCATTGATAGCGGTCTTGTTGTATTTTTGTTCAACGCCTGGTAGTATCGTATTGAGCATTGATATTTCCAAATATTAGAATTTTATGGGAGTTACTGATTTTGTCTACCGAGGTCCGTAGTTCTCGGTAGAATTTCTTTAAGTATTCAACAGGTTTGGATATATCCGGGGCGTACGTACTTATACGATGTATTGTGGTGTGGTTCAGTTTCAGGAAGGTTTTCAATAATCGTTGATATATTCTTTATCTTCAATGCTTTGTGCATATTTCTCATGCAATAGGAGAGAGTCACACTTACTCAGCTAAATCTGATCATTGTATCATCTAGGAATCCAGTAGATTCATTAATTACAGATTACCCTGTATACATCTTCGAATCATTATTGGCATACAATGGACTATGCCTTCATAGTACAATGCAGGCAGAAAGAAACTACATATGAGGGGTATCGATGGCATTTCTCTTCTTTTCACTTAAAATTAAACAATCGCTCATCGTGTTGTGCTAAATTAAATTAAAAATAATAATAAGCAATTTGCAAATCTCGAGTTGGAATCTCCTTACCGTGTACCGCATTTATTGAGCTGTTATTTTTAAATTAAATTATTCATATATGGGACCGGTAATTGCAAAGCTATTTGACGTTGAAATGAAACAAGTACATATACATGAATACCTCGCTGAATTCATCTGTTTGATATGTAATTGCAATTGGACATGTTAATGTGCATAAAGAGACGTCGTTAGTCAACGTTTAATTTGCATACTTTTTCGATTGAAGGCAAGTTTAATAGATGTTAATGTGTGTGTGTGATCATGCAGCTTTAGTCTAATAAACCATTTTTTGCATAATTGGTATACGAGCATAACGACAATGCAAAGATTGCCACTGGATGAATTGTATTGTCTTTTACTGACAAAAATTTGAATGTGGATATTTCAAATGAATAATGATTAATTTAAAACAATTACTTTAAACAATTTTTTCTTGTTTTTAGTCGACTAACTAAGCGTTAATGAGTGTCTCAAAAAGGTTCCAATAATACAAAGCATCACAAAATCTAACCTTACATGAAAATATTCAGATTCTCGGTAGAAAACCAGTTATGAAGGCCATATATTTTATTTTCAATAAATGGGGTCAGTAAATTTGAAGGTATCAAAATAATAAGTGCAAACGACAAAAGCCGAGTCGGGAACATCAATAAAACGCTACATTTTAAAAATAAAACTCATCTTTGATGCTCTGCAAATGTTTCCAAGTATTTTTATTAATTAGTTTCTAATGTATTTGCCTTAAAAGATTATATGATTTATTAACTTGACTAAAATAATTCAAATCAGTAGATTGAAAGTTTGCTGAAAATCCATTCATGCTGTCTTAAAACAATGCTTAAAGAACGATGATTGTGCACCCTCCCCATCTAACTTAAGTACAGTTAGCGAACTCATACAGATCTATAAATAAATCATAAAATTCCTAATACAAGCAGTATAAAACATCTAAGATTTTTCGAAATTACTTAATATCCGAACATGTCAATTTAACACAACTTGCGTCAAGATTTAGCCGATAGTTTGTATCCCATATCCGATTTATTATCTTAAAACCCATCTTAACACCGTTTCAAACAGTAATCAGGCTTATCTGCCTATTATGCACTATTGGGAAAATTTCTTTCCTTAAAGGTTCAACTTTGGCAAAGTTTCCAAACAATGGGCTGTTACGCTCGTTGATTTTTACGGTTTCGAGAACAACGGCAATTCGAGCTATCCATTGTCCATATTGAAGCTCATTATATTGCGATTGTACTGTCCCAAGCTTTGCTTACATAGTGTCAAAATTGCTGAGTTCTCTTAAAGGCAATGCCAAGGCTTTAACAGTCTACTAAACACTTGTGCCGCTGAGCTCAATAAAAAAAACCTGATATTTCGTTGATTTCTTTGGAATCATTTCGCAAATTAAGAAAATTCACATATTCAAATTACAATACTCATGATAAATTATTGATATATTTTTACATTATATTGGAAAATTTTCTGTGGGAAAAATACGTGAAAGCACGGTGTCAACCAAGGTATTTTAAATATTTTGCATAATAATTTATGATTTTTAAGCAATAATTTTAATTTCACTCTTCCTGAATTGGCAACTGTTGATGCCTTTTTCTAAATGGCTGCGTAACATTTTAGTGCTCACAATATATCTAAATCAAAATACTAATCGTTTATAAAATGTATATTTATCAGATCTATTTACATTCCAAGTAATACTTTGTATAATTTATTTTAGTGGGTTGGTACGCCATAAACAGCATGAGGCACAACTACTCTTGTGGGAAGACGAGGAGCTTGAATGCCTGGAACAATGTTGATATATCCCTGGTTATTTTCAGGCTCCGAAATTTGCTGTACAAGCGGAATCGTATAATCGTAGTCAGTCAGCGCAGGTTTAACGTCTTGGGTATGAGGAACACCGTATTCGTTATGAGGCACTTGAGGAACTTCATATTCGCCATGTGGTTTAGCTGGAACTCCATATTCAGCTGCTGGAACTTCAACCGGTTCCACATGGGGAAGAGTATAATCGTAATTGATCACTACGGGCTTATGTTCTGGAACACGTGGAACGCCGTATTCAGCATGAGGCACTTGAGGAACTCCATATTCGTCATGTCGTTTAGCTGGAACTCCATATTCAGCTGCTGGAACTTCAACCGGCTCCACATGGGGAATAGTATAATCGTAATTGATCACTACGGGCTTATCTTCTGGAACATGTGGAACGCCGTATTCAGTATGAGGYACTTGRGGAACTTCATATTYGMCATGYGGTTTAGCTGGAACTCTATATTCAGCYGCTGGAACTWCAAYCGGCTCCACATGGGGAATAGTATAATCGTAATTGATAACTACAGGCTTATGTTCGGGAACATCTGGAACACCGTATTCAGCATGAGGAACTTGAGGAACACCATATTCGCCATGTGACTTAACTGGAACTCCATATTCAGCTGCTGGAACTACAACCGGCTCCACATGGGGAATAGTATAATCGTAATTGATCACTACGGGCTTATGTTCTGGAACATGTGGAACTCCGTCTTCAGCATGGGGCACTTGAGGAACTCCATATTCGCCATTTGGTTCTGCAGGAACTCCATATTCAGCTACTGGAACTACAACCGGCTCCACATAGGGAATGGTATAATCGTATTCAGTCACCACTGGCTTAACTTCTTGCACATGTGGAACGCCGTATTCAACATGAGGGACTTCAGGAATCCCATATTCATCATGTGGTTTGTATGGAACTCCATATTCAGCCGTCGGAATTACAACTGGCTCCACATGAGGAATAACATAATCATAATTGATCACTACAGGTTTAATCTCCGGAACATGTGGAATTCCATATTCACCATGAGGCACCTGTGGCACGCCATATTCATCATGAGGCATAAAAGGAATTCCATAGTCAGCTGCGGGAATTGCAACCGGTTTCAAATGAGGAATATGGTAATCGTAATTGATTTCTACAGGTTTAACTTCCTGTACATGTGGAACTCCATATTCATCATGAACTTTAGGAACCCCATAGGAATCACGTGGAGGTAAACTTAATTTTTTGTCATCTATTGGGAGAATTTCTTTAGGTATCTCGTGGTTAGTTGACAGTTTCTTCAGATAAGCCAATGGAACGCCGTATTCGGAATGAGGTTTGCTGGGCAAATCCGATGCAACGCCAAGTGCAAACACCGTAAACGCAAGCAGTAGCTACAACAACAAAAACACTATCAAATTACTATACATAAGAAAAAACAAAATCAATTCACTTTTAAGCTATCTGCATAATTAATAATTGCTCACAGGAAAATCCTCTTAAGGAATTAATTAAATTCAACTTACGTGATTCATGTCAGATTGTTGATTCGATCCAAAAGCTGATATGACGATGAGAACAGACGCGTGTTGAGCTTTATATATCAACTAAAACTACTAAAACCGTGATTAAGTAAAATATATTTAATTTTACTTTAATGAGGGTCTTAATTGATTTTAAAGGTATTTATGTTGCAATATATTGTATATCCGTGTTAAAATACAGGGCTTCAGTTTTCTGAGAAGAGCTTTCACCTTTTATGACGAACAAAGTAGACCTATCCAGTACCGCTTTTGTAAATGGTATTTGAATTGTCATGAATTTGTGGGTGAATGTTCTCGGGGGGCTGAGGCTACACGAACAGGGGAGATGGGTGGAAGACACAGACAAATTACTTCTTTTGTTGAATTTTTGTCTTTACAGCAGTGCAATTTCATCCCTAAAAAAAATAATAGAGTATTGGACCGAGTTTTGAGCAGCGGTTCTCTCCAATGTTAGGTCAGTATGGAAGATGGTCATCAACCGGCTGTTCTTCTGCATCGGTCTTGCCTCGTGCTCGAAGGCGTGTTGCTGTAGCCAACCTTTTATCTTCCAAAGTGCAGAATCGACGTGTTGAAGTTTTCACTCCTTATAAGAATCATAAGATCTCGTAATGAGTTGGGGGACACTAAGGATATATTTTCTGGCCTTGCGCGAGCTTGGCGCTCTCAGGAGGAGACTGGACCGTGGCGAACCATATGCGTATGTTTCTAAATATAATAATTGTGTTCTAATATTCAATATATTATACGTGGTGTTATATGGTCTCACTCTGTGAGTGGCTTACAGCTGTGGATGAGACCTTAAATAAATAAATAAATCGATTAACAGTTTTAAAAAACTTTATATTCTTTAACATATTGCTTTTCGATTCAGGATACGATGCAAAGTAGGAAAAACGTGTGTTCATTCAGAAAATGGGCGTTTGATTTACCCGTCCCACTTAATTCTTAATTGAGCAGCCCCAACTGTCTTTCATTTCTATTATGAGTATGATGGTGTACTTTGCAATTTATATTTTTTTAAATACTCAACTAACAGAGTTTAGAAAATTAATTTTAAATGTGCATGCAAAAACATTTATGCCAGTAGGTATTAACAGTAATTTAAAAAATCAGTTATTGCTCCAACACAACATTATCAACCTTTAAAGTTTTTAACATGATTCCAAAATAGGAGAAATGTTTGTTAATCTGAGTTTAAATTAATGAGAATTTATCCAGCGTTTAAACTAGTCGGATTAATTCATCGGAGTTTACACGAAATGAAAGCAGAAAGTTGCTTAAAATTTTTAGCATTATAACAAGTTCACACAGGAAAAGTTTATTAAAATCCAAATAATTAACAAAACACTTTCCAACATTAAGCTTGAAATCCTTCTGTAGAATTAAGGCCAGTAAAATAAAAATTCTATTAGGTAGTGCATGTCCGCCTATTCGCAGTGGCGGCGCTAGGGGTGGGCGAGGTTGGGCGAGCGCCCAACCAAAATTTGTCTCGCCCAACCACTTTTAATAGGGGCATTTACAGCATTCCAGTTGTGAGAAGACTTTTCCGTTTTAAACTGAACGAGAATTAGAAAATAAGTTTCGAGTAATAATCGATTAATAAGTTTTCGAAGTCGTTTCTGTCCTGAAGATGAGAAGATATAGATACAAATTATATTACAAAGCATGCACTTTTGGTTATTAACTGTCTAGGCAAAGAAAAATTAATTTAAATATTACAAGCAGTTTCCGCGAACATGTTAATAAATGTACGTCCAGTAATGAATAGTTTAAAACTAAGAGAGCAAGATGTCATTTCCGTTCAAACAGTTTTTCATAACATTCGGAAATGTTTCTGATAAATTCACTTATTGAACAAATAAAATCAGGCAGCAGTATTGAACATTTTTGAATCAGATAAAAATTCAAATTTGGAAAGCAGACAAAAATTGTAAAAAAACGCTTCCGGGCAAAACTAGCACCCCCCAATCTCCCAATAGATACAGGGTTATTGATTGAACTTTGGCCACCCCGTTTTTGCAGCTAATTTGAAACTTACCTTTTTTCAATGGAATTCCGTACTTTTTATTGCATATTCGAGATATTCATAAAATTCTAGGCCTAATCGATAGAAATGTTCTATATTGATTCCCAACTGTTTTTCAGTTAATAACCAATGTTGGTTGACTTTTGGCAAGCCCGTTTCAACATCTTTTTGAAATTTAGGAAAAAATATTGAATACAAAAGTTTTAGATATTAACGTCTAGTTTATTGTAAGATAATACAAATTGATACAGGGTGTCTCAAACTCAAGTGCTGGTAAAAACTTACATTTTTTTAAATGGAATCGTGCACTTTTATATAACTTTTAATTATTAATAAACTAGACGTTAATAGCTTCAAGTTTTGTATTTAACATTTTTCTCTAAATTCTAAAGTAGATGAAAAAATGGGGTGGCCAAAGTTTAATTAATAATGGTTATTAACTCAAATACAGTAGAAAATCATTATAGAACATTTATATCGAATAAGCCTAGAATTGCGCGAATATTTCGATTATGCAATAAATAGAACGGCATTCCATTAAAAAAAAAGTAAGTTTGGTCTGCCACTTGAATTTGAGACCCCCTGTATCAATTGGTGTTATCTGAAAATAAACTAGACGTTAATATCAACAACTTTTGTATTTAACATTTTTCTCAAAATTTCAAATTAGATCCTAAAACGGGGTGGCCAAAGTTCAATCAATAACTCTCTACATGATATGTCAAATGGTAAAAATACATTGAACTTGAAGTAAAAGCCACCCTGTATAATGTAGGAGTAGTGTATAAAGTATTTAACTTTTTGTTTAAAAAAATGTACACAATTATTGTCTAACATTTCAAAATTATAAATAAACTGCTGCAAAATTACTCTAAAGCTGTAAAAATGCTTCATTTTCAGCGCCGAATTAGATTAGCACACAACTTGTGCGGAGGAAAATTTTAGAAAGTTATGAATTTTTCAGGTTGCGGTACTTTTTAATTTTATGAAGGTCAATGCAAGTTTAATAGCAAATGTCAAATCAAGTCTTGAAAAAATAGAATGTAGGACAATTTAAAAATAATTACCCAAAATAACACATTCAGTGAACATCAATTCGAATGTTACGCCTTTAATGTGTGAAAATTGTACTTTCACTCCCCGCCTATAAATTAAATTTGAAAACTTATAAATAAATATTCTGCTTATCAATCAATTTACACAGTACAAGATATTGTGTGCTAAGAACCTAAACACAAAGGTGAGTGAATAAAAAGTGCACGCTACACTCTGATACTTGTGTGAATATAAATTATAAGGGACTAGGGGATTAAATTGGAAAGCATTTATTCAAAAATCTAGCTTTGTTGTTGAGGTTTGTAACAAAGGGATTGGCACGTAATTTAATAATTTTTCTCCAGTTTTTGGGCAAAGCTGTAATATGTTTGCTTTCACTCCAATAATAAATAGCATATTCACATGTATGTTTTTGCATCGGATCACCGCTATAAAAGTTTTGCTCTTTAAGTGAAATTTGTTAATATTTAAATTTAAATAATTAACAGTATGATCCAGAAATGAAGTTTAAAATAAATATACCTTCAACATTTTCAGATGGAAGCCTGTAAAATGAAGGCAGTTCTCATCCTAACTGCTCTTATTCATGCATCTACTAGTGACTATGTTTACCTCTCTCCAGAAGATGATCCAGTGCAAGTAGTTTCAATAAGAAACATTCCGCTGCTGGTTCCTCAACAACCGAGAGTAAACATCGTTCCGACAGCTGGCCACTTCCCTTATCCTGCTGCAGAACCTATAATTGTGGCTGGAACTCCTTCCAGTCAACCCATTCAGTATGACATTGCATATCCGTATCCACCAGCAGAGCCTAAAAATCCGAGTCCAGAACTCATTGTTCCATCTACTACTCCAACAGCAGATTCACATTCAGACTCAATAATTTATCATGATGTTGCGCCTATTCATCACGGCACAGGCTCTCCGTACCCTGCGGCAGAGCCTAAACAAAACGATGACTCGAAGAGTTTTCCCTACCCTGCTGAAGAACCAAAATCGACGACAAGCTTTCCATATCCCGCCTTAGAAGATACTTACGTTCGCCTGGCGCCTAAAAAAAATATATTTATTCCACCAGTCCAGGCTAAACAAGCCACCAGTTTTCCCTATCCAGCTGCAGATGTGTCCGGCATTACTACTTCAACCTCCCTGCCGTACCCACCAGCAGAAGATGAAAATCAAGAGCTTCCTTATCCACCAGCACCACCAAAGGTAGTATCAGATAGCACCTCACTTCCCTATCCCGCAGCAGAACCAAAAGTATTTGATTATATTCCCGCTGAACCTAAAATAGTACTTACGCCATCAACATCTTTTCCTTACCCACCACCGGAGGCAACGAAAGAAAACGATTACCCTTATCCAGCAGCAGAAGCGAAAACGATTCATCAAACTGGGTCACATACAGAAGTTGAGCATAAAGTGGTGACAAACTTCCCGTATCCAGCTAAGGAGTACTAGGAAAACTAAAGTTAACAATATCAAACTGTATCGTATATTTATAAGCCACTTAAATGTATGCTTAAATAATGCGTAAATAACAAGATCTTTATATAACCAACGGCAGTTTCATATTATTTTTATAATTTCTTTTCAACAACTGAAGATAGACTGTTACTACAGTGTGCTACTGCTGTAGGTATACTATAAGAAGCTAAGCAAAATATGATATTTTGCAATTTTTAGGATACGAGGGTCTTTTGATAGATACGAAGTCAATGACGTTTTGAATGAAAGAAATGTTTGTCGGCCAAGAAACGTTTTGTTTCTCAACATAATCTCCATTTAGCTGGATAAACGTAGTCCAGCGTCTTTTCAATTTTTGTATTCCTTCCAAATAATATAATTTCTCGAGGTCCTCGAAACATGCGTTTGTTTCAATGATGACCTCTTCATTGGACCAAATCTCTCACCGACCAGCCATTTCTTCAGGTTTGGAAACAGGAAATAGGCGCAACAACTAAAAAAAGTCATCAACATTTTCCCAGCAAAACAACTGAGTTACTGTGCCGGTGATGCACCAACCCATTTGCGCAGCACTGCGCCAACTCCTAAAAATTCACTGAGTTACCCAGGCCTAGTCGCATCTGCTATTCAGTTGTAGTTCAGTAACCATTTATCAACGGTAAATATTTTTAGATGTGCGTTGCCTAGATGATTGTTATCACCTTTCGTCTATAAGAATTGCTGTTCAGTTCTGGAGGAACCATAATCGGTCATATCAGCGAAATACTGTTTAGCTTCAGTGATGGTATAATTCAGCATTTTTAGTCTATAAGTATTACTGTTAATGTGGATTATTTAATGTTATTGTTGACTTAATAACAAGCGTAAATAATTCAAATGCTATTACAAAAACTGTGGTGCTCCATAAATCAGAGGAAAGTTCAGTGAAAAGATAGACAAGAAGACGATTATTCAATTTTTCAAGATTTTGACAAACTTGTTTCATAACAGAAAAACACAGGTATATTAATATTTCTGTTCCATGCGAGAGATTATTTTCAAAAGCGGGTGCTTCGATAAACGAGCGCAGAACTAAACTTAGTAAATAGCCTACGCAAAAAATTATTGTTATACTTTCCTGACTGTGTTTCAATTCCAAATCAAATTCATTCCTGGGTTTCAGTCATTTGTTGTTTCCATTTATCAATCAAAATGCGTTTCGGTGCATTTTTCCACCATCATCAGTTTTTATGTGTAGCGTTGTTGCTGCTTTAAGCCTTAGCATGCATTTTTTGCAGAACCCAGGAATAAATTTGATTTGCAAAAAATTATTCTTAAATGTTAATTTATTTTTAGATAAAAATTAGCTTTTTGCATGCGCAAAAAGCATTCGCACATTAGCTAAATGTATGCGAAAATGTTTTTTTTGCATGAAAAGCGTATATTTTAGTTAAATCATTCAATTTTATAATTAGTTTTTTTCCTTAAGTAGTTACTTATGACCCATGTTTTGTTTTTGTTTTTAGAATATATCATTTTTAGTTTACCAATGCCAAGAATTATTTTCTTAATTAAACTAAATCATTATTTATCATCACTATTTCTACCATAATCATCATTGCTAATTTTGAATGAAAAATTTAAAAAGTAACATGTTACTTTTGGAATCTTATTCCAAAGTGAAACTGCAACGTTGTAATCTGTTCCAGAAAAATAACCGCTTTTTAAGGTTTAATTCTTTTCTTCTATTCTATCTAATTCTTTTGAAGTATTTAAATAATTTCCTTCTAATTTAGCCCCAATTTTTGTATGCACCATAGGAAGAACGCTTAGCCTAGTAAATGCAAAAATTATAATTTTACCAAACCTATTCTAATAAGAAGAGTGTTCACCATTTCAACTCTAAAGCTGCTTGTTCAACCAAAAAAATGYAAATAATTTTCTTTTTATRTGGAATAYAGGGTGTTTGAAAAGAAAAAATGATTAAAAAAATATAGAATCACATCATTCAAGTTTCRCATTCAATAAAACATACTTATTTGTTSGCGTCAAAATACATAGATCCTCTTAAACGAAATTTTATACACATTTTTTTATATATCAAACTAGAAGTTTTTTCAGACCAGATCACAGATCAAGTATCAGTATAGTAGATASAAGATCAAGTAGCATAAAACAACGTGAATTATACGACYGACTTAGGTAAGATATGGAATGCCAATCTTGCTCGCCCCTCGGACACTAATCGTTTAGGAAAAGTCGATCTAAAACCTTTCACAATTTCACCCCTAACACATTGCTACGAAAAGGTGGCAAAAAGTCGGTTCAGGAGCGGAATGATATGGGTTGAAGAAGGAAGAAGGTAAATAAACAAAGGCAATAAGAATAAATAGCAAAATAAATTACTTATCAAAATAGTCAATATTTATTTGTTTTATTCAGCTGTACATTTGGTATCAAAATATATTAGTACTTTTCGACGACAATAGGTATCAATGGGTAGAACAAAACACATAACAAAATGAAAAGAAACATGTAGTCAACGTAGAAAGGTTGGAACTTCTGTACCTAGTTTCTGTTGGATGAGCTTTCCATATCCCCCTCTGCCCATATCGTAGTCTGTCCTATATTCGTCTCTTACCTAAATAACACGTACGGTCAGTCACAAAAATCTATCCACTCTTTAAACAATCAATTTATTTTGCTACTTATTTTACTATATAAAAATGTTTAAGTAACATTTTTTGATTTAACAAAACTACACTCCAAGCTATATCTTAATGTCTAGGGATAGACAACGCGAGATGTTTTCCTATAACTAAAATAATTCTGGTTAAGCGATTTATAAAGCAATTCTTTGATAATGCTTATTGGTAATAGGAAAGTTTATTCTTCATGTTCGCATTTCAGAGAAGCTATTTTGGAATCAAACAAGCTTCAAGTATGTTATGCTATTGAGAAAGAGAATAAACTTGTTGGGACCGATTGWATCACATYGATTSGMSTTTTCWTTCTCAACTTATCTGTATGTAATTCATGGTGTTATTAAAAAAGTTATTTTTATAACTAAAACCGCCGCCCTTTTCCATTGTAATATCAGGACCCAAAAAATGTTTTTCACACTCGAGACTACATTGTGAAATGTCATTTGTTGCCCGACATCTCATCACTTTTTTTCCGATTACAACCAACAATATTGCTTCAACACTACATTTATACCCGAATTTAAAATGTTGCTGCATATTGTTTACTTATAAGCAATCTTTGGTAGGCTGTTTTTCTGGTCAAACTTAACTTTAAGCAAAATAATTCTAACATCTCTGCATTTCATGACCACGACGGGGCACCTAAGAAAAATAGAAAAAAAACCTATCCCTATCCTTAGGTTAACACAAACTTGAACAACTTAATTGATAGAGCCCAAAGTGATAAAATAAACAGAGCCATCAACTTACAATGAATGTTCGAAAATAATGAAATTTTCTTTCGCAAATAAAAAAAAATTAAGTAAATTTTGCGCGAAAAATGTGACCGGTTAAAAAAAATTCATATATCTCAAATGACGCAATATAAACAGACGATTAAAGATTCAAATTACTCAAGACATTAGGCTTTTTTCTCGACATCGTATAGTTTTTTCTCCCCATTGACCGCGGACAGATTTAAACATTGAGCAAGAAAACATAACAATATTTACAACAGCCTATATAAAAGGTTTATTTCAGTTTTTTTGGTTATCTTTTAACTGAATTTTTGACCAAGAGTAGATCTATGATTCGATAGAAGAATTATTCAAATCGAAGTACCGACTGATCAAATATTCACAGACAAAAGTTGTGTAATTTTAAGCTAGGCGAGACATTTTTGGCGCTGTGTATATGTATGTAAAGCATATTAAAACGCGATTGCCTATTATGTAGGCCGTGTCAAATATACGATTTGCACAATTTTGTCGAGGAATTTTGCAGAATCTCAAAATTTTCCTGTTTATCTTCGACTTGGTTACGGACTTTTTCCTCTTATACTTTTTAAAAACTTGCGGTTAAACAGTTAGATTTCCGAATTGCGTAGATGCGTAGCGCAACTTGCGGATTTGGAGACTTCAAAACTACTCGGAGCGCAACAGTAAGACTTCTTTCAGTTAGAATATTAATAAAATAATAGCTTTGATAGATCGCAAAACACAGTTCGATATTTGTCAGTAAGAACAATTCTTGGGTTTCATTTAAAAATTTTCATATTTGCACAATTCATTAAAGTAAACGGGTCTTGTGTTCTGTGTCTTACTAGTTATCATCCTGCCATGTATAAACACTTAAGGTATTCATTTTGAGTTCTTCAAGGTAAACTTACTTGTCCTCCAGTTTTGCCTCGTCCATATTGCCGACCTTTTAGATAGCCAGCATCCCAGTCAGTTCGCACAATTCTATCATCCAACCTTGTACCATTAATATATCTGAAAACGATCCAAAAATAGGGCGAGAAATATTAAATGCAACTTTGCGGATTGAACCAGAGCACATTCAGATATTGACTTTGTAATCTGGAAACTGAGAATCATTTTTGTAGGGAATCAGAAGAAAATATAGTTAAATATTTAGTTTGGTTTAAATGCAGAAAAAAGTCAGATTATATCTGGATTACGGAAAAATTTTCGATTTCTTTTGTAAGCGTAAGTTTTTCGACGAATAGTTTGAGATCGATAGCAGTGAAAATTATTTACTGGATGGCGACTACAACAATCGTAATTTTTCAGAAATCCGACAACAATTCGTATCGCAAATTAATCGTACTGCAAACATTGTTCAGGCCAATACAATTCGCGCTCACTGCTTGTTCATTTACTGTTAAACCAGTAATTTCAAATGCACTTGCTTCATCTGATTAAAGGGAAGAACACAAATAGAAACTTAAAGTATTCTAGATTGCGATCAAATGTAACTGACATGGATCTGCCAATATTTTTTTTATTCTGAAACTCAAAGATCAGCTGATTTTTAACCAGGGTGTTAATATAAATTTAAATTTAAATTTAATTAATTAAAAAAAAACTGAAATTAATATAAAATTAAAATAAAAGACAAATATTCGGAAATACATTGGCCGGTAGTAGATAGATTATCATACTTCACCGTATAAGACAATGAAGTAATTAGTAATGTGTCTCCTAACATTCATCTTTTCGAAAAATGTGAAAAAAATAAACAATATTTTTTGCTAAAGGTTGATTTATTAGGGTCCATGTAGCTCTCTTACCCGCTTCCATCTCTCCCTAAGAAAGGCTCAGTCTGAGACTTACTTGAAACTTTGTTCCCAGTTTATTCTTACTTATGCGTACGGATTTAAGCTATTTATCATCGATATATTTTTTAACGCAATGTGCGTAATAATAGTAAATCATATAAGAAGAGTAAGGAGAAAAAAATTATTCTGGCGTTGTTTTCACTAATTGTTTAATTCTTATGCTTTCATTTTAAATAAATAAATGTTCGCATAATTATGAAAGTGTTGTTTCGAGATATTTAATGAATTGCATTTAAATTTTTATTTTTATTTAGAATGTTAATAGTCTTGATTTATCGAAATTTATTATCCATATGAAATTTTGTGTGAATTTTGTACGAAAATATTGTTTATAAAGTTTATAAAGTTGTAATTGACTTTTTGACGATTTTCAAAATTAACTGAATGTCCTTAAGCAACTATGAGTTTCATTTGAATAAAGAACTATGAGTTTCATTTGAAACAATAACTTTAATAAAACAATTCATGAACATTTATTAATTATTTTAAGAAGGTAATCCATTTTTATCATTTCGAGTTGTTCAGATTAAAATGGTGAGGAAAAACTGGAGGAATGTATGGTAGTAAACACATAATATATTTATGTTTTTCTTGCGTTAATGTCTAGTGATAGTGTATAATGGAAGAAGCTTAAGATGTCCGTATATTTTTAGTGTTCCTCTTTTAGATGAAAGATGCAAAACGTGAAATTGAGAATCAGCTAAAGAAATGTTATAGAAGATTTTAGAAGGTTAATTTTTCAATAATCTATCCATGACTCGTTGAAATTACAACCACTTTAAGGTAAAAAAATTCATTAAATAATGTTAGTTTAAAATAATGTAGTTTGTAATAACTGATAAACTCATTTTTTTAATTTCATAATTATGGGCACAAATAATGTTTTCTCCTTTTATAGCTTATGACCGAAATGTTTAATCACCAAAATTGAAACTTTGTAAGAATATAAACTACTGAAATTGATATTAAGATATTAATATTAATCATCGGTGAGATTCAATAAATCCAAGGAACTTAATAATTACCTTAAGCAATTTTCAGCATCAGCTCTTTTGTAATATTCCACAAAACAGAAACCACATGGAGTCCTTTTATATTTGTCTAAGCCCATAATGATTCTCCGGATTTCGCCACATTTCGCAAATAATTCATATATTTGCTCTTCCGTGGTGTAAAAAGACAAATTGCCCACGTATAGGGTTGAAGAGTTGCGCAATTTCTTGTCATGTTCCGATCTACTCCCCTAGAGTCATGAGAAAAATCTATATTTTGCGAAAAATATATAGAATAATAAATATTATTATTTATGCATTTTATGCAAAAATGAATAAATGATTTAACGGCCAGCTTAGTCTAACCAAAATCGTTTGCACCAATGACCAATACCAAGTTTTTGTCTGATGTCGTGAATCTCCTGGTGAAATTAAATTTAACATACGCCACTCCGTTACTTTAACGTATACCATTTATTTAGTTTAAATGTGAGTTCTTACTTAAAACACATGATGGAAATTAGTATTGAAAACTAATACTTCAATACATATGTATTGAAGTTAGTGAATAAAGTGCGAACGACTCATGGCGTTAGTTTAAATGAGTACCTTCTCCTCAGGTCACCCATTTGAGTAAAACATCTCTAGCATCTAACGCCATAGAAAATATACTCATTTTTCTTTATTACATTTCTAAATAATATTCTTAGCCCTTATAAGTAATATGCAATTAAGGAATCCTCAAATATTGCTATTGCGGTATCTGAAGTGATCCAAAAACAGTGAAGCGAATTGCATGAAGTAATTTTAATGTCAATTTTAAATTCCTGTACCTACCAACCACTTGAATAAAATCAACAAATGTAGCCTAGATCAATTCATCTCCAAAGTATGTACTTCAAAACCCCCATTTAAGTAGGCAAACATCTAGTGGAAATTATGGATGAAGCTACATTTGAATGTAGCAATATGCTTCAAGTGGAATAGTTTTGATACATCTTCCAAATGTGGCACATAAGGTAGGAAGTATCAACTAAAATGTCTAAACTGTAGTAAAGTTGAAACTCTAAACTCCACAGAGTCTATAGTTAAAATAGGAGTGGTTCTCTGAACAGTTTACGTGTCAGTTAGCGGTGTAAAATAGTTATTACGTAACCAGTAGAATGTGAATATTATTAATGCACGCATATGAAGATTTGCAAGACGAGGCTGTAGGCCGAGTCGTGTAATAACATAAGTACGTTAATAATATAATATCCTACGTTTTACGTACAATATTTTATCTACAACTATAGAGATTATTATTTTAACGATTATTATGACAAAAAGTTTTAGGTACACGGCATGGTCAAAATATKCTCTACGGATTCAGTAGAAAATATGCAGTCTACAACTTTACAATTTACGAAAGCAAAACTAAGAACGCTTTTTGCTATGTCTGGGAGGAGAAAGAYRGAAAACGAGAAGTAAATGAGATTTGTACTCATCTCCACAATTATATTTTGAAAATTGATGAAGAAAAGAAGTATCGTAAAGTACTCTTCTACTGTGATAATTGCCCAGGCCAGAACAAAAATAAATCCTATTAACCATGTTATTGTACTTTGTGAGGATATCACAAGCCATAGAAGAAGTTATTATAACGTACTTAGCAGCTGGCCACACTTACATGCCAGTAGATAGTGTGCACGCCGTTATAGAAAAGTATGTTTCTAAATTGAATGTCCAAGCACCTTCTGAATGGATTGTACATTGTACATTACTCAGAAACGCTTGGAGGAAGCCCAAGCTTTATGAAGTTATTCCAGTACGTTTTGAACAATTTTTAGACTGGAAGTCTATGGCTAGCAATAAAAAAATTAAGGGAGTTGACGGTTATGAAATTAAAGTAACAGATATTCGACGCGCATCTGTTTCCAAAACAGATTTAAATTCTCTTTATTTAACTACAAGTTATTTGTCTGATGCGGCATTTCGTAAAATTGATTGGCCTATGAGGAAATTTAAATTTCCTGTTCGAGCATATTTTTCAGAATTGCCAATTAAGAAAAACAAATTAAAAGACTTACGAAACTTATGTGATAAACTCGTGATTCAAAAACCTTACCATGTTGAATACTTAACGCTTTCCTCTCATGGAACGAATGTACCTGAAGACGTGTTACCTGAAACCGATGTGGTAGATAGAGAATATTTATTATTCGGTGCAATAATTATTTTGTGTTGTATTATTTCGATTTTTCTTCTGCTAAGAGTCAAATCTTGCGTTAATTATTTTAGGAGAAGTATATTATAATATTTATTTTAATTCTTCGTTTAGTTTCTGTTCTTAAGTTTTTTTTATTTTTCAAGAAAAATTGGGTACATTTGGTACTTCGGAAATAACGTATAAATAAAAATGAACGTTATATTCATTTTATTTTATTTTTCTATAATTTAAAACTGTTGATCTTTCAAATAAAAATTTTGTTTTAAAAACAACGTGAATAAAAATTCAAAAAATATATAAATGGCGTAAGTTCCGATTTCTTGCCTTGATTTTAAAAGGAAAGGCGTATGTAGGTTGTATCAACCACAATATTGCATTCAATTTTATAAGGACAGGGCGTAAGCGCCTTCAAAAAAGACTTAAGCGACATATATTATCGTGTTTGGAAATTAATGAAGACTTAAGCTCCAAAATCTTAATTTAATCGATAATTAAGACACTTTAGAGCTAGTTATTGCATTTTTCTCTCTCCTGTAAAATTTGCCCCATGGAGCTTACGTCTTTTTGTCGCGACGACGTCGATATATAACAGTTGTAGGTAATATATATTTAAATGTATGAAAAGTAGGTACACCAAACAAAAAAAACCTGTGAGCTAATGTACAAGTATAACAGTAAGTATATAAGTATGTATAAGTCTTAATCAATTAAAAGATGGTTAAGCTTTAAATTTATTCATAGATTTGGGTTTGTGGGAGAATTTTTGTAGCTTTTGAGCTGAAATTTGGCGCACATCTAGCGTTTGGACCAAGCAAGGAAAATGTTTATTTTAAAAGCCCACCAAGCAAGTGGACGGTGGGTTTTTCGAAAAGTTACTCATGCCATGACAATAATGATGGCAATTTACGAAGGGTTTGTGCAATGAAAGTTATGTCGGAATCGGTTATATACAGGGCGATTCAAAATTGGCGTTATTCCTCCGGGCGTTTTGTTTGCGGGAGTTTAGGGAGTACCGAAAAAAAAACAAAAAAAATTAATTATTTTCGAAAACTAAGACATTAGGAAAAAACTAGATCCGAAGGGCGGCAACAATGTTTTACACGGTACATAATCTTACCGTTTAACAATAATTAATAATCATGACCGGACGCTTAAACCATACAAAGATTATTTAAACGCACTTATTATTTCTGGAGAATGCGATACAGTTAAATCAAGAACATGTTACACATTTTCCATTCTTTACCCGCAAGAATAAAAGTCGATGACCCTATGCTGTTAAACAGATTATAGAAAATTTAAAGTAGAAGACCTCACACCAAATCACCCATGTTTTGAATACTAAATATGATACAATATTAAAATTGGGGGATTACATTTGAAAAAAATGATTTTGGGCGGTTTTCAATTTCATTTTTAAACTAATGTTTTTAACACTTAGTATTATATAATAACTATCAAAATGTTTTCGAAGTTCTATTAAAGTAAATCCACTTCAACAAGGAACACACGACTCAAATTAAGTGACACATCGTGGGTTTAAGACTAAAATGGAAGTCGAAAATTACCATATTTCTCTTTGTAATCAAGTAATTTAAAAAAATAATATATTGGTCTTCAAAAACTCACGTTCTCCAAAGCCACACAAACAAGTGCCCTAAAATATGTTTTTAATGCCCAAGTTTCCAAAAAGACTCTGATAAAAATTTTGGCTCGGTTTAATAGTGCATTTACCAAAAATGTATATTTTAGACTTGGTCAGTTTGACCTTTAAGCCCACGGTATTTCTTTATACGAAGAATTACTAATACTATACTTCCTATACTAGATTGAGG